TATGGCGTCGAATGGCCAATCATAAGATTGATTTATTCGACAGCCATTTATAATACCGATAAATCAATCTTATGATTGGCCATTTGCAAGTCCAATCAGGACTCGTAACACCGGTCGCGCTTCTCTGATAATCTAGGACTCTAATTCCAGTATGTATCTCACTGATAACAGCTGTTGACATCGGCCATCTTACTGTAAGATAAAATGAGATAGTAATCCCCCTAAATGCTATCTCTCTCAGTCGTAAATTGCCAACTTTCGGCTTCACAGCTTTCATGCTGTGAACAGAATGCTTGGTCTATATATATGTCGTTGACGAGAATACAGTCGAAGCAAGCAGATTTAATTCGATCCTGATGAAGATGCGGGGCGAATAGCGATCGAGCGATCGTATCAACAAGAGAGGTGGCAATCGTTGCGTTTGTTGCGCGCGAGAGACCAATCCTCGCGGCCAATATTACGATTGGAATACGTATGTATGTACGTACATGCGTGTGTACATCATATATACGTGTATGTGTATACATACAAAGCGCTGGGCGAGCGCGAGTGATCCTCGCGACGCGCGCCAATACATCAAGTCAAGGAAACAGCGGTAGAGCGAGGAATTTCCTTCCGCGCAGCGTGGCCGCGCCATTATACATAGATCGCACGAGGCTGTTCTCGCACATCGTAAATTGTAAATTACGAGAGAACGTCCGAGTCGCCCTGGCCGTTGCTGCTGGGTCGCGCACGTAGGAATGTGGCACTTCAAAATGGCTGCCAGTTAGTCTAGTAATTTACGGCCGTGTCTGCCTTTGTTGTCGCGCGTGTGAATCGCGGTGAATCCTCTCCTCGCGGGAGCACCGCGCCGCGGACGGCGGAATCTGGCCGAATCCGCGAAGCGAAGTCGGCCGTGGTGGCGACTGAACGAATGGAGCTGTGTATGCGCGCGCGCGCGCACGCGCACACATACCACATGCACACACGAGAGACGATCGTACACGCACACACGCACGCGCGTGCGAGAGATGGTGATGCGCGCGCGCGCGCGCGTGTGTATGTCGCATGCCTGCTCTCGCTACGAGGGGCCCTCCGATCGCCCTCCGTTCGGCCCATTCGGTGAATCGCGCGCACCAGGAGATTACTCGGCGCTACTTGTGCTCGATGTTGCGCTGACATTCGTCACGCTCCATCTCGCATAGTTTTGTCACATGGCTCGCCACGCGGCGCAAACGTGAGAAAGCGCGACGGGAATATGCTCGAACGGACGGCTGCTACTGCCGCTGCCGCTGCCGCCACCACCACCGTCGTCGTCGTCGTCGTCGCCGTCGTCGTCGCCGTCGTCGTCGTCGCCGCTGTTGCTGTTGCTGTTGCTACTGCTGCTACTGCCAATGCTGATGCTAATAATCGCGCGCCCGTCACTGTTGTCACTTCGTCAAGAAAGCCCCATTCCGTGGAATTCCGCGACGAGTGGCACGTCGCCGTCGCCGTCGTCGTCGTCGTCGTCGTCGTCGCCGTCATCGTCATCATACCATAAACATCTCGGTGCATTGACAAACGAGCGTGAGCACGCGCGCGCGCATGTGTGCGACACTATAGACTTTGTCACCGTCACCAGCTCTCGGTCACCAATTCGAGCGGAAGCCCATCCGTTCGTTGACGAGCCGAGATAGGTTAGCTGTCCGCTTGTCCACTTGATCCGCTTCCTTGCACGCGCGAGCGCGCGCGCGCGCTCGCGGCACGAAGATGTCGAGGATCAGCCGCAAGAGATACCTGCCGCCGTCTCCTCCTTGTCACCGTGCTCTTTGGCAGCATCTTCGAGAGGCGGACGTTCGAGGAAGATTCCTCACCGCGACGTCGTGAAACACTTGTCACTCGGATACGTGCTCGATATGTTGACGGTTCTCGCGTCCCTCGCTTTACGTTCCTACGTTTCTCGCTACTCCTCGTCGTTAATCGTAACTCCGTAACTGTTGTGACACGACGTTATTGTTGTTATACACGGCCGACAGACATTCGCGAAAGTGACCCCAAGTTCTCGGAGTGTGTTATGAACTGACTGACTAGCTACACACCACTTGTCCGTTTCTAGCCATGATCTGATGCTGGCCAGTATCTGTGGCAAGGCCAACTAGGAATGATCTTTGTTTCGTAAGCATTATCTTGTCAGATAAGTCAGGCCATACGTGCCTTATAAATTTATTAAAATAGACTTAGGCTTGTTAAGATATAGTGTAAATCCAAAATTCACTGCCAGCACTGAGAATCCATAGTACATGTAATGTACGTTGTAGATTTTTAGCGCAGGCAGTGAATTTGGAAACACAGCCCTTCTCCTACATGTCCCTAAACAAATGTGTTAAAATTACATTTGTATCTTTTCTCATATATAATTGTGTTATGTACATTAGTAGTTATAATATATAAAATAATATTAATAATATATCAAAAACAGAGATATTAATTATTATCAGTAGCTAGATCTTGTATTTCTTAATGACAGTGTTGTTATCATTATGCATGTTGTCGTTGCACAGATATAATATACAAAAACTTACATGACGACAATATAACGATAATGAACTGTCATTAACAGGTACAGAATCTGATTTCAGCATGGATATTTATTACAAGTGATATTAATGATATTAATATATAATATATAATATGATTTAAACGAATTTACTTGTTTAACTCATTAACATATAACTACTAATGTAATATTAATTACAAATCAATGGCCAGTACAAGTCTAATACATGGTTGTATGTGCGACTTATAAATTTAATTATTTGTTACTTATAATTTGACTATCAGTCATATGTACAATTCGTGCAAAGTCGTACTGACCATCGATTTGTAATTACAGTTAGATGTTAATGACCCTAAATTAATATATAAAAAAAGTTTAATTATTTAATACGTATTATGCGTATCATATTAGCATTATTCGTGTCAGCTATGAAAATTAAAAAGAAAAAGATGTGCCTTTTATCTTATCTTAATTTCATATAAATTAAGTTTTCGATAATTAAAACATTTGCATGTGCGTTAGGTAACTTTTTTAACATATATCGATTTCTTCTTCATGTAAATCTTTCACATTTGTGTCGATATGTGGAAAGAGCAAACTAATAGCGTTATGAAAAACAAGTATACATGGAACAGTTTTTTTTTTCCATTTCCCGTAAATACCCGAAGTAAATTTGTTTTAATTAGTTCGAGGATATCGATACAGTTGCTGCAATTAATAAAGAATTCTATTATTTGTATTTCTTTGCACTGATGCGCATTAGATGCTACTATACACAAAAAGTTACATCATTATAAAAACGTACCTTAAATATTAGTTTTATCTCAATCTCTGATAAAATATTTGATGTTAATATTATTATATTTTTGAAATATATATATATATATATATATATATATATATTGGATATTGATCAAAATTTTTATATTATATTTTTGCAATTGAGCACCTTCGTGTATGGTAGCTTTTAGCATCGGCGCGAAATAGCGCAATCGAATTTGCTGTAAGAGTAAAAACATTCACTGTTTTGTGTTGCAGACACATTCGTATGCGTCACAGCCAGATTAAAGCTAGGTCCCAGCGGGCCTAGCATGGGCCACTATGAATCCGCCCGCTGCCAGCAAATCGAGCACTCGCGGCTCTGGATACCACCAAAAGGCTTTAGCTGAAATTCGCAACTCGTTACTACCATTTGCGAATATCGGCGGGGTTGGCGAGGTGGGTTCCAGCGCCGCTAGCACTATCTCTACTGTATCCACGACCAGCGGCATTAGCTCCGCCTCAGGTCTCAGCGGGCTCTCTGGCGCCTCCGGTTCCACCGCTGACAAACCGGATCAACGGCAAGCGTTGGGACAACTATTAGCTATGGGATATTCGGAGGTAAGATGAGCAATTCAGCATCATTCGATTCTCATTTTCACAGATCAATCGACTCAATCGGATATTTCGTTTATTTTACTGCACTTGATGCATACAGAACTCTTTTGCTCTTTCTTTTAACTCTGGAATATATACTCATTTAAAATACATAAAAATGCTAGGAATTGCAACCAAAACGAATGAATTTATTAACGACAGAACGAAAATTTATATATGAATGATTTATCATCGTAATTTCTCTTCTCAGGAAACAGGATTGCGCGCCCTGAAATTCGCGGGATGGCGATTGGATGCGGCGATAGAGTATTTGAAGCAGGCCCAAGCGGAATCTCTGAATGGACTTGGTAAACTCAATACTAAACTTATTAGGAAGCCGAGCCTCGAGAGGGAATTAAACCTGCAACGTGGCAGTCCCGCGTTGGACAGCGGGGCAGGTAGCTCGCGATCCGATAGCCCGCGCCTCACAGAACTTAGCACGCATCCACAATTGAGTCGTCAATACTCGCCCAGTAACTTCGTGGATCGCGAGCCGCCGCCGCCGCCGCCACCTCGGTGCAGTTCCACGCCACCGCCACCACCGCCACCTCACGCACCATATAGTCAATCCAATGTGCCTACCAATATGCAGCAAATGCTCAAACGAATGTCACCTGCGCCGGTCGTGCCGACGAGATCGACGGCGACGGGATCCGGCACGGCCGGCGCCACATCAACGTCAGCAAACCCACCGCAACGCGGCACTAGTCCGGTGGCGAACGCCAACAACACCAGCAGTCGGCAGCCGATGATTGTGCAAAACGGTCCGCAGGTGCAGCAGCAGCTGACGCAGCAAATGCAGGCTCTCAGTATTTATCAGACGAGCAATAGCAACGCAAACACCCAAGTCGAACCTCCGCCGCCATATCCTATAGTTCCGTCCTCGTCCTCCGGTCAATCGGTGCAGCCGCCTTCTTACAGTGTCTCCATGCAGAATCGGCAGAGCCCCACGCAGTCGCAGCAGGATTATCGTAAAAGTCCGTCGTCAGGCATCTATTCAGGTCCGACATCCGCTGGTACACCCAGTCCCATCACCGTATCTACGATATCGCCTAGCACCACGCAGACGTCTATGGCCCGGCCGACACCGTTGCAAGCATGGGGCGCGCGACAAGCCAAGACGCAGCCACCAATCATCATGCAATCGGTGAAGAGTACGCAAGTACAGAAACCGGTGCTGCAGACTGCTATCGCACCCACGGCGCCGCAGTCGATCTCCAGCAGTACCAGTAACACGCCACCCCCGCCGCCCTCTTATGCGTCATCCATTCAGCAGAAGCAACAACAGCAACAACCGCCACCCGCCTACCCGCCCGTGAACAACGTGGCCGCGTCACCCGCTGGTATACCGACGACGGAACCGCCGAGTTACGCCACAACGATGCAGGCGTTAGCGGCGCAGCGCGGTATGCATCATCCGCTGCCGCCACCACCGTACAGCACTCCCACCGAAGACACTGCAATTATTTCCTCCGCAATGGAGAGCGGCAGCGCGGCGTCGCGAACTTCTCCCGTTGCTCATCCGCCGCTTCAAAGGAAATATTCGCCGGCTGATAACTGCCAGCATACAATGGACGCGCCACCATTACCACCAGTTGCCTCGACCTCCGTGTCCGTAAGGAACAACAACAACAATCATTCGTCCTTACCCGAGGGCAATACCGTCAGCGCCAAGGGCAGTGGCAATGGCACCAAAGGCGATGGCAGCAGTGGCACGCCCTCGCCCTATAAAATTCATAAGCATCAATCTCCCATACCCGAGCGCAAGACTATGAGTATAGAGAAGGAAGAGGAGCGCAGGGATTGCAAGGTGAGAAATTACTCTCCCCAGGCATTCAAATTCTTCATGGAGCAGCACGTAGAGAACATACTCAAGTCGCATAAGCAGCGTCTCTATCGGCGTATGCAATTGGAAACGGAGATGGCAAAGATCGGTCTGAGCGCGGAGGCACAGTGCATGATGAGAAAGATGCTGTCGCAAAAGGAGTCCAATTACATTAGATTAAAACGGGCGAAAATGGACAAAACGATGTTCACGAAAATCAAGCCGATCGGCGTTGGCGCGTTTGGCGAGGTCACGCTCGTCAGGAAGCTCGATACCAATCAGTTTTACGCGATGAAGACTTTGCGGAAGGCCGACGTGCTGAATCGTAATCAAGTCGCACACGTGAAGGCTGAGCGTGATATACTAGCGGAAGCTGACAACGAGTGGGTCGTTAAGCTCTATTACTCATTCCAGGATAAGGATAATCTATATTTTGTAATGGATTACATACCTGGCGGGGACTTGATGTCGCTATTGATTAAATTCGGCATCTTTAAAGAGCCACTGGCGAGATTTTATATTGCCGAGCTCACGTGCGCAGTTGAAAGTGTTCACAAAATGGGATTCATTCATAGGGACATTAAACCAGATAACATTCTAATTGATCGCGATGGACATATTAAATTGACTGACTTTGGCCTCTGCACAGGATTCCGTTGGACTCATAATTCTAAATATTACCAACAAAACGGTGAGCAATTTTCAACCACTTCTACATTCGATATTTTGTAGATGTTACGTTTAAAATAAAATTAAAGTGCGTATCTTAACGCATATAAAATTAAATAATACGATCTTTTTATGCGTTTCAAGGACATGGTAAACAAGACTCAATGGATCCAGCTGACGATTGGAACAACGAATGTCAATGCATGCAGTTAAAACCATTAGAACGTAGAAGACATAGAGAACATCAGAGATGTTTGGCGCATTCTCTGGTTGGAACACCGAATTATATCGCGCCGGAGGTCTTACAGCGAACAGGATACACACAGTTATGCGATTGGTGGAGTGTAGGAGTAATTTTATATGAAATGTTAGTTGGTTCTCCACCATTTCTTGCCAATACTCCTGCTGAAACTCAATATAAGGTACATACTATATAATTGTTATTAAAACATCTAGTATTAATAATAATGAAGATACTAGATAATTATTTGTTTTAAGTCTCGAAAATGTTCATTTAAATTATGAAATATTTAAAATATTTTAAGATCTTTTGGAATTTCTTCGGAATTTTAATAAAGAAGGCTCTTTTCGAGAATTTTTTTGAAAAAGCTACACGGGTTTTTATAAATTTATTGTATTTATATATATTATTATACACACTATATGTATATACATTATATGTATTAAATTATTTTAGTAAAACTTGTATAGATGTTTATTAATTTCAAAGTTATTAGTGACCAACTAGTGAGATACTATAAAAACGCGGTGTGATATCTTGACTCTGGATGATCTGAAACAGAAATTTTTTAAAAATTTTTATTTATGAAAATTAGGATTTCTTGAAATTCCAAGAGTTAATTTTTTGTTTGTTTGTTAAAGATCGAATTTTATGGAAAAATGAATTTTTTAAATTTCAAACTGATATCATTTGTTATTTTTCACTTTCTCTTTATTTCTGATATTTATACCTCTCTTCAACTGTTTATAAATAAACATTTTTTAGGGCTTTTATTTCAAAACTGAACAATTTTGCATTTTTTTTAATAATGCCTCGTTTGAACGCTAATAACTATGATATTAATGATCATATTTATATCAAATCTTTCCTGAAAGTTCAATATGTACACTAAATTTACAAAAATTTGTGAAAATCTGTCATATAGGTTTTTCAAAAAAAATTCCGAAACGAGCCTTTTTTATTAAACTTCCAAAGGTAAAAGATTTCTTAATATATTTTAAATGTTTCATAATTTAAATACTGAATGTTTTCCAGACTTGAAATAATATCTTAAAACAAGTGGGTAATTATCTGATATCTAAATTATTATTAATACTAGACATTATTATTAAAAAATAAAAGGCCTAAAAAATTTTTTTTCTTTATTTCTGCAGGTTATTAACTGGGAGACATCGCTTCATATACCGAAACAGGCAAATCTTTCGCTGGAAAGTTCGGATTTAATCTTGAAACTTTGCAATGGCGCTGATCATCGCTTAGGTAAAAATGCGAATGAGGTGAAAAATCATCCGTTCTTTGCGAGTATCGACTTCGAGAAGGGATTACGGCGCCAAATGGCTCCACACATACCTCGTATAGAATATCCGACCGATACGAGCAATTTCGATCCCGTGGATCCTGATAAGCTTCGCAATTCTGAATCATCAGATTCGAACAAATCGGACGAATTGCTGGATAATGGGAAGCCGTTTCACGGTTTCTTCGAATTTACATTCAGGCGCTTTTTCGATGATGGCGGTGGTCCCGCGTATCCTAGTCGAATCAGCTTGGATGACAATGACAATCAAGGTCCCGTTTACGTATGACATTAGGTTAAATTTACGATTTACAGACACTTCGCCGTCTGCCATTTCCCTATTTCGACACTTCCGTCGACGCGGTTCTGTCTGTCATTTCACTGAGTTGTCCAAGATTTGTTTAGATTTCATTTTACGTGATGATTCTCTGTCTAACATCTCTGTTTCCTTATAAAAAAGACCTATAAAGTAATAAATTAACTAATTAAGAATCCAAAAAAAGTTTTAGTATATTTCTATAATGTTTAAATTTTTCTTCATAGAAAGCTTATATGAAATAATATAGAAAGTATGTTTACAAGAATCAACATTATTTTTTTCTTTTTTACTATTAGATTAAATACTGAACCTTTAAAAGAACAAAGAAATGACAACGAACCAAATAATAACTTGGATTTATTTGTATTTGAAATTTATTTCTTATTTTATTAGAATAATGTTTTTCACTTAAAGTAGCTATCTCGACAAATTGATTACTTACAAATTGTTAAATACAAGTTGTTAAAATTGTAATTACAAGTTAATTAAAGTGCTATCTAAACGTCAATGTAATTAAAAAGAATTGACTATTTAAAAGTTAGAGTAATTTTAATTAAAATTGTTATTAACGTGTGTATATTTTTGTATATACCAAGCTGAGATTAACATTAGATTCTTATTTCTATATTGTAGATTTTTATCAAAAACAAACTAAATTTTGGAAGACCGATATATGGATATTATAAACAAATGTCAGACTCATTGACATTTAGCTTTAAAAATATAAATGCGAAAGAAATATGTAATGTATATATGGTAAAGCTCAACATGAAAATAATCCGAACTATAAAGATCTGACAAGTATGTATATTTTCCATGTAAACATGTGCAGATGACTATCCTATCGACAATATATATATATCAAAATATCGGATATCCAATGGATATCGCCAAAATGGCGATAGAAAAAAATATAAGATAAAATTAAATTGTTTTAGTTGTCCTAACTTTGTATATTACTATTATTTTTTAATGAGCACACATACATGAATAATGCAATTACATCTTTTTCTTAAATGAAACTACGTTTTTTAAAACATTGTACGATGCAGTTTTATTTTTCTATAACAACAGATATTGTTTTAAAAAAAATTATAATTAAGAGATATCTTAATTTGAAATTTAGTATTTGTATATGTCAATTTCACTTTCGTGTATTGCTTGATTTACTTGTATTAGATTTTAGAGATATTTTGAGATTGAGTTAAAAGATATTTGTTTGATCCGTTATCATACTCTAAACAATTTCTCATCTTTATTTACAAAAATGATAAAGGTAGAACGTAAGATACGAGAGTGTTAAAATATTGTACGAATAAAGTTTCATTGAGAATTGTATAAAATTAGTAGCGAAAAAATATTGGCAGGAGTCGCTACCGCGTCTTCTGATATCAATCATATACAAATATCGACAAAATAAATTTGTTATGTTTATTATATTTATTAAATTCAATCAAAATTCTATCGATAAGACTATATGTCTCTGGTAAAAAGCAATAAATACGAAGTATATTTTCATATGTAGGAAAATATTCCACTGTGATAGAAACAAAGTACCCAAAATATGAATTTTTAATTCCGACGTGGGGATAAATAAATCCCCACCATACCAAAGTGATACTGCATCGTTCCCCAGAAGAACATAAGCGATATATAAGCTAAAACTTTCTGTTGATGAAAATAAAGCAGTATATATTACAGATAAACAAACAGTTATTGAACATAATTGACATTTTTTATCGTGTATAATGACATAATGACACTTTTATTCTATACATACATGGTCAAATTATAAGGTACATGAGGTAATGGAGGAGAAAAGAAAACATTGAAAATAGAGAAAATTGAAGATTGAGTATTAGAAATATGGGTGCTAAAAGTAAAAAAAAATTATAGACCATACACGTTCAGAAAATATATAAAGATTACTGCGTTAGGTGGATGATGAAACATAATATACCGAGTAAAGAAATGTTGATAGACAAATGTTAATGGAGAAACAGCAGACGACAATGATCAAACTTCAAGACTTTGTCTTGTCCATATCAAAATAATCTGTATCGTTTCTTTTGTTCGAAAAGCACGTAGAAAAAAAGAGAAATCTTTTTTTAAATGCGTATTGTGACTTTTATTTTAGCATTACTAAAAGTCAAATTTACAGAAAAATCCACATTAAAATTGCAAAAATGTTACGAAATCTCTGCCTGTCGTAGTACGTACAGGAAGGTATTGTACCTTTGACCAATTTTTATATTTTGTTCCTATTCTTTCTTGACAAGTATTTTGCCTTTGACATTCATAATCCTATGCTGATCATTCAGACTAAAATACTAATCATATACTGATCACTTTAGATTTAGATGAATTTTTTTATATTTAAATTTTAATTTTTTCATACAGTATATTTTTTAGCTTTTAAAACAAATATCAGAAACAGGAGATGTAGTTTCATATCCTTACATATGAAAATGTAGTTGTTAATAAAAATTTTTAAAATTATTTATATAAAAAATAATATAGTAAAAAAATTTTAATATACAATTTTCGAAAATACAAAAAGAATATTAAATAAAGTAGTTTTTTAAATTTAAATATAACAAGCCTGATTTACTTATATAAATTTATAATGACTAGTCACTTATAATTGCTTACAAATTTTAACGTTTTATATTAAAAAATTAAGAACTTAAAATAATAGTCTTAAATACAAACTTTCAGAAAGTAGATTAAATGTAGTTATTATTTGTATTTAAATTAAATAAACATAGTGATTAATCAGTCGTACAATTACAAGTGCTTGAACATATTCTGTTTTTCTTTATTGGGGAAAAAAAAAAATAACTACAGAAGAAATAAAAATAAATTCTAAAATATAAATTGAAAAAATAAATTATTATGAAATAAGTCAATTGACAAATTACCAAAGAAATAGAATATTAAAAAAAAGAAAACAAAATAAAATAGTTATTCAACATTATATCAACAAAAATCAATATCAAAAGATTAAATAGAAAATATAATATTTTAATAATATTTTAATAATTACATTATGTCTGATCAGTCAAAGCTTGCAATATTTACTAATTAAAAAGTCAAAGGCAAAACGAAAGTTAAAATTGTATATTATAATATATCATAATTTTTAAATTAAATTTATTAATATCCCATTTTACTTACTTTCTAGAATGCATATTTGATGAATTTATTAAATCAGATTTAAAGGATATTAACCCTTCAGTGCTATACATTTTGTCACAAGAACACTGAATATTGTGAAAAAATATCGTATAATAATAAACATATAATAAATTATTTTTTTTTATCAAAACGCCAGATGAATTTTTTTGTTGAACAAGAAAATGTATGTATCTTTATTAGATAATAAAAAAGTTATAGCATATAAAATAAAAGAAAATATCGAGTATGCCACATCTGTAATAGCACCGAAGAGTAAATAGACTTTATGAGGTAAAGAAATGTTTAAAAGTTCCTTTTCTAACGACAAAGTTTTATACACCTTTCACAAAAACTGTTTAATTTTTGAAATTAATTTATAGTTTTAAATATTTTTAAAATTTCAGAATTATAAAATAAAAATTGTAATTTCACAAATGCTCGTT